ATGAAGATATGATAGTAATTGGCAAATCCTAAGAAACATTGGACATCTCTTACAGTCTTTGGAATCTTCCAATCCATGATTGTTTGGACTTTCTTAGAATCCATAATAAGACCATCATTTGAAATGATGTATCCTAAAAAGTCAACTTGAGTAGTGTGAAATACACACTTTTCCATCTTGGCGTACAATCCTGCATCTCTAAGTTTTTGTAATACTTGACGAACATGTATTTCATGTTCTTCAACATTCTTAGAATAAATCAGGATATCGTCTAGGTAGCAGACGACAAAATTGTCTAAGAATTCACGAAATACATCATTCATGAGGTGTTGAAAAGCAGCTGGTGCATTCGTGAGTCCAAAAGGCATGACATTATATTCAAAATGCCCGTACCTGGTTCGAAACGCAGTCTTCCATTCATCTCCTTCTTTGATCCGTACTAGATTATATGCTCCTCTTAGATCTATTTTTGTATAGATCTTAGCTTGATTTAACTGGTCAAAGAGTCATGATATCAAAGGTAATGGATACTTGTTCTTGATTGTGATCTTGTTGAGTCCTCGATAGTCAACACACATTCGTAAAGATCCATCTTTTTTCTTTACGAATAAAATTGGAGCTCTTGCTGGAGATTTTGAATGGCGTATGAAATTCTTCGCTAAATTCTCGTCAATATATGTCTTGAGTTCAGCCAACTCATCTTGCGATAAACTGTAAATTGGTCCAAATGGTGGCTGAGTTCCTTCCTTGAGATCGATTGAACAATCGTATGGGCGATGCTCAGGAAGAATATCTGCATTCTTTTTCTCAAAAACGTCTTGATAATCTTGATATTGACTTGGAATCCCACTTGAAGTCTTTACGCTTTCAGAAATAGGTGCAGCATAAATAGCAAAAGTTGATCCTTCTTTTGCTGCGTGTATAAATGCTTTTGCACCTATAGGTGTGAGTTTTACTATACTAGACTCATGGTTTTTTACTTGGTTAATAGAACTGTTACTAATGCTCTGAGGAAAATCAAGTTTACGAGAAATCCAATCTATTTGAGGATTATTCTTTTCTAACTATGATAGGCCTAAAATTATTGGATTAGAGGGAGATCTAATTATATTAAAAATTACGCAACTACTATGACCATTTATTACTACATCTACAGGAAGTGTTTCGTGAGTTACATCTCCAGAAGACAACGGACGACCATCTATGACTTCTACGTGTAGAGGTTTAGTTTTTTGTATTAATGATATTCTATGACATCTAGCAAATTCTTCATCTAAAAAACAAGATGAGGCTCCTGAATCTACCAAGGCAGAGGCTTTGTAATTATTAGGTCCTAAACGCACATCTATTATAAAACAAGGAGATGGTTCTGAGGAGAGGATAGGACCTTCATTAGAAGTTGTACAAGATTCCAGCCGCACGGTCCCTATTGTAGCTGGACGTACTCGTTTTCCGACATACTGTCTTCTTTGACAGCCGTACTCCTCATTTTGTAGTTACGTCGCTTCTTTGGACAATGTTGAGCAATGTACTTAGGTTCTCCACAATATAAGCACAATCCTTCTTGTCGACGACGAGACTTTTCTTGCTCAGTAAGAGGTTTGAAACGTACCGCATCAATTTGCATATCCTCTACTTCTGAAGGTATGTGTTGAGGAGACGTCGGTGTTGCCATTGAATTGTAGTAACGTTGAGGTCCACTTGTGCGACTCTCGGATCGAAATTCAAAAAGTCGATTGTCGCACTTCACAGCAAAGTCAATTGCTTGAGTTAATGTTTGAGAATCAGGAAAATTAAGCATCAATTTCTTTATCTCATATTGTAATCCGTAGAGAAATTGACTCACAAGTGCGACATCATCCCACTTGATATCAGTTGCAAGTTGTCGAAATTGCGAAGCATATAATGTTACTGATCGATTACCTTGTCGCAAAATACGGATCTTGTTGGTTGCAACACGAATTGCATCATGTTCTCCAAACATGGATCGAAACTCCGCCAAAAAAGCCTCCAGATTATCCAATATTGGATCTCGTCGTTCAAGAAAAGATGAAAACCATGACAATGCTGAACCTGAAAGAAGTGTACCAATGAATCTAACTTGTGACCCTGGAGTTGGATAGCTCTGGGGTTGAAGTTCAATGACTAGTTGGACCTGATTGATGAATCCTCGAAACTTGGATTTGGTACCATCAAACTTCTCGGGCAAGGCAACTCTCGGTTCTCTAACACTCGAAGGGTGTTCCATTCTGGGAGAAGGAACATGGTTTGGTGCAGATGTTAAAGCAGCCCCAATCATCTCTATATCTTCACTTCCTACCATTCTTGTTGCTCCTTGTGGTAGTAAATTGAGTTGATGCATCGCAAGCATTAACTCCCTCAATTGTTCTTGCATTTGTGCCATTGCACTCTTCATTTCAACAAGCTCTGCCATAGTAGCACTTAGAAAAGAGAAGATGTCTAATAACGCTCAAAACAAATAGAAGAGAGGAATTGATAACAAAGATAATACTAAGAACAATATCAGTTTAAAAGAGGGTAATCCGCAACTTCTAATGCGCTTATGTCTTATCAAGAAAAAGGGGTAATCCACTCTTAATCAAGAAAAGACAAAGCTCTGATATTGTAAGTGCACTCTTGTCAATCTGTCAAGGACAAGAACTCGATGAAAAAATAGTTCAGACAAGTAAGCCTTCACTCAAAGAAAAGTAACAAAATATGAATAATAAGTTTGTATATTGAAAAGAGAAACTAGAATAGCTATTGCCAAAAGAGAAGAAAACTAGAGACCCTTGAAACTAGACTAGAAGCAAGAAAGGAGTTGACAAGAGTGAAGAGGGCTTCACTCTTGCCTCTATATATACTATCTAACTAGAAGCCACGTGGCGATGTTCTATAAGACCTCCAATATATGTTGACTTTCTAGGCCACATGCCTTTGCTTGCAAGGCAAGTTTTCTATGGATGGACCACGTAGTTAGCTTGTTCTTTAAGCTTCCAACATGTGTGGCACATGGCTAACTTGTTGACCAAGTTTCTAACCTAAAAGTCAACTATAGACTCCTATAAAGTCAAAGCAGCGTCTATGAAGCTTCTAAGAAGCTTCTTTAGAAGATATTACACAATTAACCTACTTTTATCTACTTTTACATACTTTTATCTATTCATATAGGTAATTATATGTATGTCCGTGACATCTTCCCACCCTGGTATGGGACACTAATGATGGTTGAGAGGCCCTATCAATCATCTTTGAAGAGAACAAAGATCAGAGTATGTAGCGAATACAATTCGTCGCATCATAGATTTGCTCAATATATGATGACCGCTTTTCGTGGAACTCTTCCCTAGAAGGGGAGGTAATGTCACAGACATAATCATGTAAGCTAAATAATTACATATATAAATAGGTAAAAGTAAGTAAAAGTAGGTAAAAGTAAGTAAAAGTAGGTAAAATAAGTTAATTCAATAGTATTTAATATGAAAGCTTCTTAGAAACTTCCTAGACACTGCTTTGACTTCATAGCTGTCTTTAATTGACTTTTTGGATTAGAGACGTGGTCAACAAGTTGGCCATGTGCCATACATGTTGTTAGCTTGAAGATCAAGCTAACTATGTGGCCCACACGTAGAAAAACTTGCCTTATAAGTCAAGGCATGTGTCCTACAAAGTCAACACATATTGGAGGTCCTATAGAACGTCGCCACGTAGCCCCTAGTTAAATAGTATATATAAAGACAAGAGTGAAGGCTTCTTCACTCTTATCAACTCCTTTCTTGCTTCTAGTCTAGTTCCAAGGGTCTCTAGTTTTCTTATATTTTGGCAATAGCCATTCCAATTTCTCTTTCAATATATATACTTGTTGTTATATATTTTGTTACCTCTCTTTGAGTGAAGGCTCACTTGTCTGAATTGTTTTTTCATCGAGTTCTTGTCCTTGACAATACTAGGGATGTTGAGTAACTCTTAAGAACAAGTACGAGTGATGTTTGATTACGATAATAAGGAATGATCCCTATTGTCAAGTGTATGATCATATTCTTATCAGTTCAGTGGATATTTCTGCTTGAGTATATTCGCTCACAAGTTGAAGATGGAATCACGAAATTCACAATGTTACTAGCAATGAATATTCGATGGATACAATACATAAAAGTAACACTGCTTTCAACACCAAGTTATTGTTTCTGTAATTAGTTTTAGTGAATGACATAGTTTTACAGAATATCAGTACCCAGTTGACTTTGATCTTGTACCTAAACATGTAAGCTCACCATCAACAACATTCTATTTTCTTAGAAATTCTGCCAGCTTGCTAATGTTCTCAAATTCAACACGAACAAATTTTGTTCATCATTGTAGATGGAGTCAGAAGACGAAGCATACACATATACTGAATAGTTTTCAAAGTTTCTCATCTTGCTTAGGTTAGTGAAGTGTTCAAGAGCGGTTTGAAATCAAGCACATGATTGTCTTGTGATTAATGAATTTATGGTGAGATAGAACTGCTGAGTAAGTTAGACATCTCTTCAAATTCAAGTGCAAGTTGTGCTCGTAGATATTTATTGCTTCGACTTTAGGTTCAGAGGGTTTGGCAGCACAGAGTGGAGGCGCTCGAGTGTTAGTGTCCTGCGCACGAAGTAGCGTGGTTATGTTCTAGTAACATTAATTGATCAAAGAACCATTCGTCCACTTATCGATAGGCCATGCAGACAAGATTGGGTGTTTTCTTACACCACATCTCTGTACAGATGTGGGTTCTATCAGTATGAGTTTCACAATACTTGCACGAGTTCCAAGGAGAAATGGAAGACAAGTAGGTGTTGATGATAGATATTTTCCGAGGTTTGACATCGATGGTTTCAAATAGATCCAGATACGGAGCCAAGGATGCAGGATCTGTTCACATATCTGATAATTGATGACAATCATAAGGCGATCAGTGAGTCGTACCAAAGATATTCACACACAACAAATGATCCACGTGAGGGTGCAAGAAATGATACATACAAGAAGTGATGATTTTTTTGATATATTAAGCTATGAAACACAAACAGGTCGAGGAATAGGCGGCTTTGATCCTGTACTACAAACTTCGCGGCGATCGACATTCGTACACAAATTCACAATTGGGGATGTAGCATTTCCGTCCACATCGAAGAACGTCGTCTCCGAGGCGCGGAGAAAGCATGGTATTCCCTACTTGCTGCTGGCGACATCGTTGGCAGCGCCAGTGATCTTCCCCTTCAACTCCTCGATGTCCTCGACGAGCTCCTTCCTGCTGGACTTGAACAGCAGGTAACGGTACACGAACCATCCAGTGTAGCCGAGCCCGATGAGCTCCATTACCTTGGGCAGCAGCGGGACGGAGTTGATGGCACCCACGATAGTAGAGGAGAACCATAGTGCAACAAGCGCACCTCCGGCATAGATCACCACAGTGCTCTTGTTCTCAGTTTGGTCCCACTGTCATCAAATCACATTAGCAAACATGTTGATCACATGATTTCACCAGTCTGACAGTTTCTAGTGTGAGATGGCATTCAGATCCATTACGGTGGATTCACACTGCAGCAGTTAAGAAAAATCATCAGAGACAAAGGCCAACCTTAGCCTTGAGATCGTCAATGAATTCTTGAATTTGGGCGGAGCTGTCACCTTCCGCGGTGGCTCTAATTGACAGAGGTTTGGACCTCTTAGACACTGCAGAAACGGTTCAATTTATCAGGTACAGTTAAACCACACTGCAAAACAAGTGCACATATCACAGAAGTGGTTACGGAGCCCATGGAATCAAGAAGAATGAAAAGTTGTGCTGAGTCTATGAACTTTTACGGTAATATCAACATTGTCCAGTTCTTAACTCAGGGGAGAATAAAACCTAAACACAAACCCTGTGGATCCATTGGAGGCGGACATGCACTGAACATTGACAGTTTCCAAGGGTATGAATGGAATCCCAGTAACGGTACTCGTACCAGCCGCGAGGATTTCTCTAGTGAAGACAAGTTATTAAACTGCTGAGATGAGTTACTACTTAACGCGGGTCGAGACAGTGCAGCACTCCCGCCTACAGAGTCTCGTCAGTTCAACATGTGGTGGGAGAGTTTCCCACACCAGAGGCAATGTTATGACGGACGTAACACAGAACTTCTGATGCTTCTCCGGTGAACTTTAAGCAACGTGGTGACGTTGTCATCGCCATGAGCTAAATGTATCTAAATGTACCCACGCTACGGTAATAAGGCTGCGACAAATGATAGTTTTAGGCCTTTCCAAACAATCAGCAAAACAGCTGAAACACGAAAGGACGACCACGACCGGGAATCTGACACCCGCAACAATCCTAATCACTTTGCTCCACCAAGCACTCGTTCGCTAGATGCAAGCGATAAATCTCACCTGATCTCCTGAAGTTCACCACCACCTTGTTGCCATGAACGTGACTCCGCCTGAGCGACAGTGATGCAGACGCGCCCACAGACGACCTCGGGGCCGACGAGGCAACGGCGCCGGTGGCAGAACCGGCCGCAGCGACAGAGCTCGACAACGCTGCGACGCACGCCATCTAGACTGGCTCAAGCTTCGACCAGTTCAGCTCACGAGTGGATACGGTTCTGCAGAACAGTGCGACAACTTCACAACATTATCCGTGTGCCAGTTGCGGTTCAATACTACATTGCTTCACGAATCCCTGGCAATCGGTGCGCCGCGGGTCAAGGAACACGGAAGGCGGGCCTTGGCGATGGGCTGCGGGTGGAAATCTGGCCATGGCGGACGCCAACCAACCGCCGGCTCCCAGACCTGGTGTCGTTGGATAAGGTGTCAGCGTCCTCAGGATTTTTAATATTCTGCCTTTCTCATTTTCTCAATCACTTTGCGAAAAAATGGATACTTGGGTGGGGAGTTGGATGGTTTTGCCAAGGGGCATCGCCATCTGATCTCCAAGTGGACGTCTAGGTCTCTGACTGATACGTGGCCCTACCACTTCGGATTCGGTGATAGTGGTCGGATATTATATCACCCACCCCGTTATCGTTTCTAATACTCGCCGAACCATGCAATCTCAGTCGGTGCATATCAAACTCGTGGCGTTGTGTTGTTACTGGTGTTTATACCCGCTGAGCGAGCGGTCATCCTTCAAAATAAACGCGTCTCTCTCTCTTTGTTCCGAGAAATGCTCTATTGAATTGACATTTGAAGCATTTCGAAACAGCTCAGGTCTCGTTCTATGATTTGTAAACGGTGTTACGAAATTGCATTGTATGAAATCCTCTGAACTTTATCATGTTTTGTAATGAGCTGACAACCAATGTAGAACATCTTGGGCGTCGCAGTGACTGGTTAGTTTTAATAATTGATTTACACAGCTCTTTCATGGCAAGCCTCCAAAATAGGAAAAAAAATTTGGCATCTCAAACACATCTCCCATGTGTCATTGATATCTCCTTCATGTAATTTGTTACACAGCAGGTGTGAAATGAGTGTCCTGTATTTATTTTATTTGTATTGCGTCTTTTTACAGCTCAAATCCGCATGTAAATACCATGTGTTTTAAAATTTGATAATGCTTTTGTAACAGTTATATATGTGTGTATGTATAAACTAATAACACTAATACAAATGTATGTATAAATATATACTAGTTAAAAAGAAACAAAAATAATTAAAATACAATAAGAGATTAGCACATACAACGTATTATGGTAGTGAGTTTTTAGTAATGTCTTTTAAAATATTTTATTCTAATATTAGTATAATTATTTTGAGAAAAAATATGCACAAGTCTTACAAATTCTACATTACATTGCATATTACTGCAATGGTTTCGTTCAACACATCATCAATCTATTCTCTTTAAAAACATTGTAATTTTTTTTTTATTTAAAAAAAACAAAGTTTTCGTTTACTTTTGTACTCTAAATGGTATTTAATTTAAAAATTTAGAACCTTCAAAATTATGCTGCAAGGTGAGTATCAAAAAAGTTATAGATTCTTTTGATAAAGGGCCTTCTAATTCCCCCACAATAATAATGATAACAATGAAGCATGACAAATGGTGAAAATAGATGTTGAATCCTGACAAAGAAGTGAAAAATTTGACTTGAAGTTCAATTCAATCAATTATTTACAACCCCAAAATTTACTGAAAAAATAAATTCATCCAACCCAATTGCATGAAACTAACCAAAACCTAAAGCAAAGCAACAAAACTATCTCGAATCAAGTCCACGGCGACCGGAACCACCACGGTCTCAGGTACAATATCGACCCATGACCGAGATCAATGGATCCCTCGACCGCTCCTGGGCCGACGAGCCTGTTTCCGTGCCACCGACGTGCAGCTCGCTGTGCCCAGCACGATCTCATTGCACCAGCCCCACTCGCTCACAATCACGCCGTGATTCCACGCCTGGTCCATAGCCACGATCACCAAGCGTTTCACGCGGTTCGTGGTGTCGCCAGTGCTCTTTCTCGTCGCCTCAGAACTTGTGTGTTGCGCGATCTTCACCGGTTATTAGCTGCGCGTTTATGCCTGATAGAACTGCTAGCTGAAGGACGACGAGGTTGGTGCTCCACTGTTGCACACATTGAATGCGCCGCTTTGGGTACAGCATTACAGCTCTTAAAGTTGGTTGGGGGATGCGCGTTCTCATACATTGGGTTGATAGGGTGCTGGTCTGAGAGGGGTATTGTTTTTTTTATGATATTTTCCTGGGTTTGGTCTTATGTGAGTTGGGTCATATTTTTTGCGTATGTTGTGCGAGACGTAAGTGTGCGTGAGGGCCTGTGAGGAAGTTTAGTTTCGTGGTTAGGTTTGTGCCAGGAGGGGAGGGGAGGGGAGGGGAAGGGAGTTTAGTTAGTAGTACTGATGAGAGAGAAGCAAGCATTTGGCAAGATGACGATGGATCCTGAGCTGAGTGGGACGGTGGTGCCTCAGAGGGTGCCCTATTACAAGCGAAAGAAGCCTAGAATTTGCTGCGGCGTGTGTATCTTGATTCTCGTGTCCTTGGGGACAGTGGCTGCTGTTTTGAGCCAAACCATTTTCAAGTTTCGCGACCCGAAGGTGTCTTTGAAGGACGCTAAGCTGCAGACGATTTCATTTCGGTTTGATTTAGCTGCCTTGTCGCCGCTCCTGAGCATCTCTATTTCGGCAAACGTGCTGGTGGACAACCCAAATCACTACGACTTTAGGTACAACAATAGCACCATGCTTCTGAAATACCACGGCGACCAGGTGGGAGTAGTGGAGCTCGGTGCTGGTACCATCGCCTCTCGCAAGACCGTCGAGCTTCATTCTGTCATCACCGTCGAGGCGTTGAAGCTCATACTCAATGGACTGCAGGATATCAGCAGTGGAATCGCGAGGTTGAACCTCAATGCTGTGATTCCAGGGCGGGTGAACTTGGCCCACATCATCAAGAGGCACGTGACTGCCATCGTGGACTGTAATATTGATATCTTCTTGGGCAACCAGACATTGAAGCAAAACGAATGTAAACGGACCATCAAGCTGTGATTTCATTCCCACCAGTCCCTCTCACGACAATGTGGAGCTCCTCGTTCCTTTACTTCGCACTCCAACGCTTACTATTGTCGGACCGTTGAACAGTCAACACGTGAGGTACGAGATCTGGGTTGACTCGGCTTCTCAACACTCTCAATAGGATCCGAACCGTTTCAGTTCCTTCCTCATGATGAATCTTTGAACCTTGGGGAGCGAAATCATCAACCAAATGCACATCAGCACCGAAACATTCCACCTCATCGAAGCTGAAGATTGACAGAGTGGGTGTCTGTTTCCTATTCCGCTACAGTCTGTGTGGTCCAATGTGATCCTTTAAGTGAAACTGAGACTTGAAGAAGAGATTCGTTGCATAGTTTTCTTAGTTGTCAGCAATGCCCTCATGTTGATCAGTGTCGTGGACTTCATAAATGCCGAGACCTAAACTAGTTCTTAACTTCACGAAAAAACAATCTGTGAAATTCAGCAATTTCTCCTTCATTTCAAGCATCGACGAGTCTTTTCTTCTACCTTCGCTCTCCGTTATGAAACGATCTTATTCCTATTGACTCCATCAGAGACGCACTTCTAAGACCCTTCTTGTTTCGCTGAGTTTTTCTTGTGAAAATCAGCTTCACAATTCATGGCATGCTGCTGATTACCGTAATGTCTGGCATCGAACCTCTATTTCTGATTTCTCTCTATATGTTAGGAATGAAGACTGTTGTTCAACAACTGAAGGATGATGGAGGGTGAAGCATATGAAGGTAGTCATTTACAATCCTAACTTAGTCTTGCGTAATGTACTTGAATTGTAAACAACTAGGGTTTTGTAATCCTATTTTTCACAAACCTAAAGGAATTTTGGAAAAGTAGATCACATGCCTAAAGTTTCTGCTTAAATTCCTTTCCTGGTTTGAAATTAATCACGTGTTGAAACGTAAAATGTATGGCCTCGTCTTCACAATCGTTTGTATCTAATTGTTTCAAAGCTTACTACAATATAAACCACATTCATGGCCTCCATATCAATTGTTTTATGCAGTTGTTTAAGTAATGATTGATGGTGGGTTCCCACATGCCTTTTCTTGATAATCCGTTACAATTTTCTTAATGTTTGAATTGAGTAAATTAATCACTGCACACCTCTCTCTCTCTCTCTCTCTCTATATATATATATATTATAGAAAATTGTTAAATTGACCCAGACATTTACTAAATCAACCCACCCATCTTCATTGGTTGAGGATCCAACCATTTTTTCATTGAATTTTGACCAAAGTGAATCCAATAATGAAGAATTTATTAATGATGGTTAAGATGGTAAATTTAGTAACGATGGTTAGGATGGGGAATTTATTTAAGATGGTCAAGATAGGATGGGTAAAATTAGCAATTCCATATATATATATATATATATATCATTAAACTCAATCTAGTATTCTCATTTCATTTTCAATGTGAAACCTAATAAATTTTACTAACACAATGCAATTAATTTTTTCATTGTTTTTATTATTTTTTGAAAGTAACACGTTTGATGGTACCATTCATGAAAAAATCTAGTATATAACATAATATACAATATATTGAGATACAAAAAATAGATATGCATGTGGTTTGAGAAGAAGTAGAAGCAAACACACGTCACTCACCACGTCACCGATTGCTTTTCACACCAAGATTCAGTCCTAACCAGAGGGCTTCCTGATAATTTGCGGAGGCGCGGATGGGAATCCCGTCATTTGTGAAAATGGATGAAATTTCATGACGTTCATCCGCGAGGCCCTCATTTCGTTGCAAGTCAAGCAGACCGTGTCGCTGGAGCTTCATAATTGTGCTTGATGTCAAGGCTGGCGACTCTCCAGGTTCAGATTTGTCTCCGCATTTGCTTACGTCGTGTGCGGGTGCCATTCTGTTGCCTCCTGCAGTTTGTGGTTCAATAGCTCGCAGCAGAAGCCAAAGGACAGTCGACCTGCGTGCTTTGATTGGTTATCGTGACTAGGGTTTCAGTGGGAGAGGAGATTTCGGATCGCCTCAGCCATGACGGTACGACGGATGTGATGCGAGGCGTGTTGTTGTTCTTATGCGCTTTTTATCCACCTTTCCTTAGTATTTGTGTTTTTGCTCCCTCTCCTCTTTCCTCATCACTCCCCTTCCCAATATTTTGCGTTTCGTGTGTCGAAGATCTAGCTCCGGAGTAGAGTTCTGGCTGAGATCCTTGAGGTGTAGTGCTGTAAGTTTGTCGGTTGTCTCCGCGGTTCTTTTTTATTTGGTAGCGTGCGGGTAGTTGGAAACGATGGAGAAATTTGAATTGCTTTAGAGGTTGATGAGCATATCTGAGGAGATTATCCTGAAGGGGATAACTGGGGGAGTCAATTCTCTGTCCCTTTTCCTTGGGAGTGAGTTAGGTCATGGAATGAATGGTTGACGGTAGGTATATAATTTGTTTTCATAGCTTAATTTGAAAGCGCTTCCAGTGTTTAGAGTTGTATCTTGAAATATTTGGTTCTAGTATTGTGATTTCATTGTATTGTTGGTGTTTACAGACCAATACTGTGCGAGTGACCAATATCTCAGAAAAAGCCACTGCGCATGATATTCATGACTTTTTCTCATTTTCTGGAGAGATTGTTAATATTGAGCTTCAGAGGTAAGCGCTGAGCGGCAATTATACTTGCGTGATGTCTTTTTAAGGTAGAGGACGGAGTTCTGATGATTCGTATAGTCTTGAGCATTATGCGACACTCTGCCCTGTGTCCAAGGTTTGTCCGGAATCATGACTTTTACTGTCTATTGTGCAGGAGCAATGATTCACAGATTGCTCTTGTGACATTCAAGGAGCCTCAAGCTTTAGACACTGCCCTTCTTCTCTCGGTTCGTGAATTCCTCCGGCTTTTACGTTGCCTCTCATCTATTTATTTGGATCTGTCTTCGTTCGCCCTATGTTGAAATAGCCGTCAAGATTCATTCGTGATGTATACTATTCATAGTATTCTGTGTCTGTGAAATTCCCTGTATCAAATACATTTTTCTGGTATTTGTTTGGGGAGTAAGTGCAATTATGAGCCTGTCAAGGGGCTGACAATTCAATAATTATCTTGGTTTTGCAGGGGGCTACCGTCGTGGACAGAGCAGTCAACATCACCCCGCTGGAAGATGAACTACCTCCAAGCAATAATCCCATTCCAAGAGAACAAGCGTTTGAAAATGATGGGGTAGTGGTTCTCCGTTCTCATGATTATTTATTCTCAAAGAACACTGCATATAAGCTTTTCCAGTTTTCTAATTGCTTTTCCCTGATTTTTCAGGGTTATGGTGGATCAAGTTCACAAACTTCAAACCAAGCAGTCGATGTTGTTGCTACAATGCTGGCACGAGGTTTTATTCTTGGAAAGGATGCCCTTTCTAAGGCGAAGGAGTTTGATGCGAAGCATGATCTTTCAGCAAGCGCCAAATCCTCGGTAGTGAACTTTGACAAGAATACTGGGATCAGTGAGAAGTTGAATGCAGGGACTGCTGTTGTAAATCAGCAGATGAAAGCTGTTGATGAGAAGTACCAAGTTTCGGAGAAGACTCGGGCTGTCTTGGCTGTTGCCGAAGAGAAGGTTAGCACTGCGGGGTCTGTTCTCATGAATAATCGCTACTTATTGACAGGTATTTACTATTTTCATTATTTAATATCTTTTCTACTCGTTTGCGGATCTCAATTCATTTTGATTTGGGTCCTTGGAATCGTGCTTTACTCACAAAATAGGCTTATTTTTATTGTTTAGGTTTGTGGCGTATTGTTCCCCTTTTTATTCTTTCACCTTTACATTGGCTTATTTATTGTAGTTACCCATGTCCAATATGTGTTAAAATGATTGAAATATAGTCGTCGATTTACGGCAGGCGCACGTTGGGTTACTGGGGCATTTTCAAGAGTCCAGAAAGTTGCTGCTGAAGTAAGTCAGAAGACCAAAGAGAAGGCTGGCATAATGGAATCAGAGCATAACATTGGTAATTTGCATGAAAACGTTCGCGCAGCAGCAGCACCTACTTATCCAAGCTCAGAACGAGCTACTCTTTCTCCACCTTTTGCGATAGATTCCTCTGGTTCTCAGTATCCTAACTTTGGCTACAATCATTATGCTCCTCTACATTCAACAGAACAACGTTCAACAAGGGACTCTTCTTCTCGTGACCTGATTCTGTGAAGAACCTGTTAACACTTAGAGATATTTTTGAAAGTAAGCTGTAGGTGGCAAGGCTAGGGAAATAAGGTTTCAATTTTTGTGGTTATAAAGCTTTCGAAGCTGAAGCTAACTTTATCCATTTTTTGTAAGTCGGACGTGGACAAACAACAGGTGACCTTGTATTATATTGTGCATAGTATACTTTTGTACTGAAAGGGCGTCCAGCATAAAAATCATTCACATTGTGCTACATAATCAACGCCCCAGCTTCATTTTCGTGCTGAGGTGATCTCAAATGCATTCCTTGCCATCTTGGCTCTGTTGACTGCCGCTCTGGGCAGTTCTGAAAATCTGGAAAAGATGTGTATCGTGGAGATTGGGCTCTTAATCGTAAATGCAAATGCCTTCTCCGAGCGTATATTTAAAGGCAGAAAATTGGCTTGTCGACTTTCCAGGTCAAGTTTCATTTGTTTTTTGATCCCCTAATGCTCCTAAATATGAAAACACCCTTAATGTTCTCTAAAAGTAACCCCTGGAACCTAAATGATGCAAATACTTGACAGTGGATTTGAGAGTGGGCTGTAGATTCACAAAATCACTATACAACATTCAATTCCAGGATTCAATTCAATTCATTTTTGGGGACAAATTTTTTGAGGGGAGAAGGCAAGATCCAAGTTGCAACTTGTGATTGGGTAAAATTGACAAGCCTCACTTGGGTTGCAGTAGACTTTGGAAAATCAGTTAAAACATTGTGAGAGAAAAAATTGAGGTAGAATGTATGTTTTCTACATACGATAAGTAATTTTGTTCTAAAAATTTATACCAAGTCCTAAAGAGGTGGTTGTAACAAAAATCAGAGAAACCATTTTTCAAATTATTCAAATTTCATAATATTAGTAAAAATTTATAAAATTGTATCTTAAATATTTGCAACAAATTGTAATAACAAAGATATAAGTTGTCCTATTCAAAATTGTGATGAGAAAATGATTAGGTCCATTTCATAACCTCTATTCACGTTTTGCTATCTAAAGAACCAAAGTTTCTTAAGAACGACCTTTTTTTCAGCAATCATAAAACCGAAGTGAAACTTTTAAATCACAATCTTTGAAAAGTTCCTTGAAATAAAAGTTATCTTAAGAATCTCAAAATATTTGAAGAGTTTTTTGCAATCATTTCTGCAGCTTTCAGGTTCTGAGTCCAAGAATAGCAAAATTCCAGTATCTCGAAATGCCAATATTGTCTCCAAGTGTGCATACGGTGCATGTTAAAGCACGGTACACGGTTGTAGGGCGCGCAATGTTTGAACAAACCCTAAAACCCTAAACCCTTGATGCGGAGAGCTGATGAATTCTCTGGTCTCGATGTTACCTTCTTGTCAGTTTTTGCAACGATCTTCGAAATTCCTTTTAGCACAGGATTTTCCAACCTTTCGTCGACTTTTCCTTTGTAGTTTGTGTACGTGTGTGTGTACTGGAGACCATTTGAGGAGAGCGAAGAAATTCATGAGTGTGCATGAACTTGCGGATGGATTGAATTAGATGGACCTGGAGAGGTCATTGAACCTTGAAGATATGCAGAGGTCTTGGATAAAACGAGGTCGGAGGCAGGGGTGTATGAGATCCAAGCTGCTGAGCCTGGCTAATTTGTATACGCACACCTTGTCTCCTGCTCTCAGTCCATCGATTAGACGTAGAGCCGCCGGTTCCTTGCCTTTCCAAAAATTGCAGAGCTCCGATAGAATATCTTACCGGATGCGAAGGATGGCCTTTGTAATGAACTCCCATCCTTTGCGGCCCTCTTTCGGTTTGGAGTTCGTACAGCGCGGCGGGGATTTTGATGGACGTGAATTTAGGATTCGGGGAAGTTTGTCGACTAAATCTTGTAAAGAATTTGAGAGGAAATTGGTCGCTCAATGTGTGGATCGTGTGAGTTCCGAAGGTGAAAGTTCTGGAAGAGCCTCAGGACTGAAATATTTGGACCAGAATTGTGTACTCAATGGGGCCTTCGAGGCTAGTACAACAGATGGATTGCTATCTTTCTTAGAAGAAACAAATTCTGTTAATTTGGAGTTAATCACTAGGGGAACAGGAGATAGTATAGGCCTTAGAGATTTTGATCCTGATTCGTCTAATCAAACATTATCTTCGTCTACTTCTGCATCCTCAGAAATGGTCACGTCAAGTACTCATGGAGGTTTCAATGCGAGCCAAGAATCGATGCCATCGATGAATCTAGGAGCCGCAGAAACAATCTTTGAGCAATGTTGTGGTCGCAGCCAAGTCAAGAGTGCAGGTGTGTGGGGTGCAATGCAGAGCGTCTCTGTTGATGAAGCGGTTGCTGTGACTTGTAATCAATCTTTGGTGTCCGCAATCGGTCACCAGTCAACACTTAGGGCAAGTAGCAGGCATAAGCTACTTGCTGCGTCAAAAGGTGCGGTGGAAACCGCGGACTCGGAGAGTGAACACCCACTAGTTGACGGTGATATTTTGGATAGGGTTGAGACGCTAAGGCGTGTGATTGCGGATTATTCATATCAGTATCACACGTTAGGTAATCCATTAATAAGGTAACTTAAACGAACTCAATATTGCACGTTATTCTAAAGAAAGAGGTTTTCTATGTTAATTATCAGACTCATGAGATGCATATTGTAATCTCACTTCTTTGTGTAAAACGTATTGCAACAGCGATTCAGCTTATGATGCATTGGTGCGGGAGCTGAAAGATCTGGAATCTAAATTGCCTGCAGAAGCTTCTGAAGAGTCAGTGACAGCCAAAGTACGTGTTCGTCTACATGCAAAATTGATTGAGCCCTTTAAGAACCTTTCTTAATAATCATGTCGTTTCTAAAGGATTTTGTTCAAATGATTCGAATTTGTGCTTGATTCACTGGGTGCTGTGCTGAACAGTAATAGTCGTCACTCTGACTTCCGTTTGTTTAAAGTTTAGAGAATGTTATTCAGAAGTTTTGAAGAGTGATTTCTACAGTGGCCTGATCATATCTACACCCCTTACTTTCTGGTTCTTGTTTCGCAGCTACGGATCATGAATATTTGTTCTAAATTATGGCCAAACACTTGAATTTATAAAAGATAGACAGATGTGTTTAGTCTACGTTTTTATTTTATATTTTTGTAGGTTGGAGCTCCTCCACCCCTGGAGATTGCCAAAGTACGACATGCAGTGCCTATGCTCAGTCTTGCTGCTGTTTACAAAGGTGAGCAATGTCTGCTTGTTTTATTCTTATACTCGATGATTGATCTGTCTTCTCTAATGCTGTGTCTTCTTTCTGCTCTGCTTTGAATTATTCAGATATTACTTTATCAAGGTCTATCTAGATGAATGGATAATAAGAATAGAAGCAGAGGTAACTCGCTATGTATGTACTCACAGAAGACGAACTGAAAGCATGGCATGAGCGATTGCAGCAACGGCTAAATCGAATGTCAAATGGAGAACAGCCTTCTACGGGAGCTTGGGTAGTAGAGCCAAAGGTGGATGGCATTGCACTAACTTTGCTCTATGAGAGAGGCAAATTGGTCTGCGCTGCGACTCGCGGGGATGGTGCTGAAGGTGCAAGTCAATGAGATTCACTGATATTTGAACTGGATGCATTATGGATTAAATGATAGTTTTGTGTCATGACTTTAACTTGAATCTTAATTTTAATTTTAATGTTCATTTCATTTACTTTGAAACATATTTCAAATTTAATTTGAATTTTGTAAATATTCCGAAAAGGTAGGTACCGCTGACCTGTTTTTGTTTGTATGACTCCTATTGCTACATTCAATTTTTCGATTCCTTGGTGGGTTAAAACTTTTTACAGTACACGTATATTTGAATTATACGATCATATCTAACGATGACTCGTGTTCAAAATAATATTCTCCAGGTTTAGGGATAACATTGATTTATTGGACGTCATTCGTCTGCTGAATTACTAAATATAATATTTTCGAGCACTATGATTTCAGGAGAGGATGTGACTCATAATGCAAGAAACCTTAAAGGGGTACCTGAAGTTCTTTCTGACCACCATAAGGAAATTAACCTGCAAGAATCAGTGCTTGAGGTCCGGGGAGAAGTTTACATGACGCTGCTTGACTTTCAAGAGTTGAATGACATGAAGGTTAGGTCGGTTACTTTATTTTTGTCGGTTTTTTTTTTTTTACCATGAACTATTTCCAGAGGCCTGTCATTTGATGTATTATGCAATTTTGATGCATATAGCAGTTGTCTTCTGGTACAGGTAAAGGGAGGAGAGAAGCCCTTTGCAAATCCTCGAAACGCAACAGCCGGTTCAATGCGAATACTTAAGAACCGAGATGGTGATGATCGTCGACTTAGTTTCATGGCATATGCAATTCTTTCGCCCGAAGATAATGTTTCTGCGGGTGAAACTCTACTCCAAACATCCGTTAGTTTCGCCTAATTTTTCTTCTGGCTAGAACATTTACAGCGTTCTTCTCCGATGGCTTTGTATGGTTTGACGATATTGGATTAGCTTTTCTGGTACTCATGCCAACGCCATCATTGTGAATCGCAAACCCTTGTTCATTGGTCCGAAATCTTTCCAAACAATTAATTTTCTGTAGGTGCATGGTCTTTGAACTAAAATGTGTTCACTTTGTTACAGGAGTTGAGACTCCGCCGCGGTTGGTAAGAGCACAGTGGGATGCTCTCAATTTACTCAAGCAGTTGGATTTCTCTGTCAATGATGATAACCGTAAATTTGCATCATTTGATGATGCTCTACACTATGCAACAAGGTACCACTTCAGCCTTGAAATCACTACTTTGCAAGCATGATGTACCGCAGGAAAGCTTGCGTACAATGAGAATTTCGAATAAGAGGATGGTAGTAATTGCATAGTTAATCTCGTTTGGCAGATGGCGGGATTCAAGGTCAACTCTCAAGTACGAATCAGATGGTGTAGTGTTCAAGATTAATGACTTAGCAACTCAGGCGAAACTTGGTGTAGTTGGGTCAGATCCGCGTTGGGCTGTCGCCTGGAAGGTAACTAAGTTCATCTCATGCTCTCATTCTCAGAAGCACGTATCAAATTTTGCTATGTAGAACGCATCTGTAATGGTTGATACCTAAAGAATCAGTCCTAGGGCCCTTGGCGTTGATGTGTTCTATGATGTCTACAGTTTGCTGCAACAGAGGTTGTGACCATACTGGAGGGCATCGAGCTTTCTATTGGACGGTCTGGCGCTATTATTCCAAATGCAAGATTAAAGGTTAGTTTTTTTCCGACGTCTCTTTCTTTGAAGATTGATCAGGATATTACTGTATCAAGCTCTTCCGATGGTTGTCCCTTGCACTTTAATCCAAAGTTCATGTTTGAGTCTGAGAATGTAGCATATTCCCAGCTCTTGAGTTTATATTATGTTCAATGGTTAACTTTCAAAAACGACTGTTTCAACAGCCTGTGGGGTTAGGGGGAGTTACCATCTCTCGCGCTTCTCTTCATAACTTTGGGTGAGCTATTTTCACAATCATGCTAGTTCCTGGGATGATGAGCTGTGCTCTCTTGAAGTGGATGTTTATCAAGTTGTGCCTCATAATCAAGAATCTTCAAGAACGTTGGGTTGCTTAATCGATCATATTACTTTTCTGGTTCCTTACTGTAAGCCTTTAGTATGAAAACCTTGTTTACCTACATTAAAGCTTATTGTAATTTAAATTGCTGGAACAGTGTCGCGGTTTGCTTGTAACGAGTACTTATCTAACTTTTCACCCGAAGATAGGATATGGTTCTTAACTTGTAATGGTAAGTCGAAGAGCATATGAAGGCTCTGTTTTGGTTTCTTGCTTTCTAATTTGCTTATGGGGCAGGATGGTGGAAAAATTGGGAATCTGTGAAGGAGACCATGTTGTTGTTCAACGAGCAGGAGATGTCATACCTCAGGTAGACTTGCGCACACTTTGACTAGTGAATAGCAATGACGAAATGATGGAGCTGATGTTTACAAATTAATGTTTCAGCATTTTGCTAGTTTGTTTCAAAGAATTTTTTGTTTTACTTCTTTTCAAAATAAGAGTTGGAACTTCAAGAGATGCATGTGTTGTAATGTCAGACTCGTTGGAATGCCTGTGACTAATTTTCTTTTCACTGATTAATCGATCTCATAATCGCGTAGACCTATCAATACATATTTTGCAGTCTTGCTCTCCAAATTTCTTGTGTCCTTCACATGTCACTTTTCTCCTTGCCAGGTTGTACAGGTCTTGAGGGAATTGAGATCAGATCATATGCATTCATGGGTTCCGCCAGATCGTTGTCCATTCTGCAATGGGGAGCTAACTGTGTCGAAGGATAATAACATCACAAGTTGTTGTAATAATAAATGCCCTGGTCGACATTCTCGTAAGGTAATCGCAGTTAATCTTCTTATCTAGATGCTGTTAGTAACTTAGGCTCATCACGTTTAAATCAGTTCTTACGTGGTTCCATACTGCCATAATTAAGAAAGTACTTTGCTGCTTGCATTGGATGTGCGTTATCGCATTTATTTCCGACAGATTAGCAAAAGGTGCGGTAGAAATTCTAATATTAAAAGCTTAATCGTTTGAATTTTCTGTTGTCTCTTTTCAAGAGGATGTATGTTTAGTTTCCAGATTCGCTTCGATGGCATCTTCCTCAATATCTGCTTCTTGGTATTTGAAAACATGGACTTTTACTGCTTTTTGAAACTAGCATAACCTAACCAGGGTCATGTTTGTGAACAGATTAAACATTTTGCGAAGACTCTTTTCAAAGGTTTAGGACCCTCTATACTCAGTGACCTTGAAGAAGCAGGGATGGTGGTAGATCCTGCTGACTTTTATGCGCTGGATGTTGTATCTCTCTCTCGCTTAGACGGCCTTGGCGAGAAGAGCGCTGCAAAGCTGGTTAAGGCCATTGAGGTCAGTCAGCTACTTAAGTTGATGTACTTCAACGGTAGAATTTGTATATTTAGTGCTCGTAGAATACCTCTGGTTTGATAAAAGACTTCACTTGACCCTCCATATTTTTTGTTATTCAAGTTAATTCTGGACCATTAAATGCTTCGTATTTCGATAGCGTGTGTACGTATCGCAATTTTGCATATTCTATCTGCTCTAGAGCCCGTATCTCTCTCGATTTGTCATGTTGTGTGTTTCCATTGTATGTGCTGAAATCTTTGTATTGAGTGCAGGAGAGCAAGGGCAAAGCATTGTGGGAGCTTATAACAGCTTTAGGCATACCATCTGTTGGTGTCACAGCAGCCAAGTTACTTGAACAATGGTTTGGAAGTATGGAAAGACTTTTAGTAGCATCAAGAGAGGAGCTTTTACTTGTGCCAGGTATATTCATCCTTTGCTTTTCATTCTGTGTTGTTAAATGGTCTTCTTGGGCGTGTTTCTAACGTATCGAGATTATTGGTCACATAAGTAACTACCTACAATGCACATAAGACCTCTCATTGTAACTTATATGTCAAAAGTTGAACTTGTTATTCAGAGTTCGGCAAACTTGTTGCACATTTTGATCACATAGTAGTTGGAATAGTATATGGACATCTTGTCAATATAATTTAGAATCCCTAGACTACAAACTTTACTTATTTATTTATTTATTTTGTGTGTGTGTGTGTGTACATTCAATTTTGAGAAAGTTGCATGCATCAACTTCTCCCTGCACAAAGAGTTTACATGTTTATTATGTATTATCTCTTTAATCCTCAATATTCTTTTTTAGACATTGAATCCTGATCCTCAAAATCGCTCATTCACAATACTAAAAGTGGAAAGGCTTATTCTTTCGTGTAGGTATAGGCACAGTCTCTGCATCTGCTATTCATGACTGGTGCACGGATCCATTTAATGTTCAACTTGTGAGCAGCATAAAAGAGGCCGGTTTTTCTCCCACCTTCAATGACCCAGAAATCGAGAATCATGCAGCAGGTAATGCGTTATCTGATTCTGCCTCCCAGACGACCACTTCGAAGGTTCGGACTACAGACAGTGAAGAATCAAAGGGAAATGTCGAGACACCACGTTTGCAAGGGAAGAATGTTGTGGTTACAGGGGAGTTTGAGGAATACAGCCGTGAGCAAATTGAACAACTTGTGGTGTTAAATGGAGGACAATTACGAAAATCGGTCAGTTTTTCTTACACCAGAATTCTGTTTTTATTTTGGTACCATTGCACCTCAATCATTGATACTTGCTCCGAGGTTTTATTGGAATAAATCTTCTTTACATCATCATGCTTAATTGCTATTGAAGTAGCCGTGAATCAAAGAGTCTCTTAAGATTGTGTAGATACAAGTCCATAAAACACGTATCAGTTGTCACCAAAAAATCCATATTGAGGTTCACGTGATAAAAAGTATGATGGCACCGATTTGCTTGGGTAATCATTAGGCAGTATAATGGCACTTTCTACAACGATTTCTATTCTGACTCATGCATGGGGGCATCTCATCTGCAGGTTAATTCGAAGACTAGTTTCATAGTTGCTGGGCAATCTCCAGGACCAAGTAAAATGACTAAAGCGGCTCAATTAGCAGTTCCAGTCTTGGATATTTCCAGTTTCCAGCAGTTGCTTGAAAATGATTCAAGGCCAGATAATAGCATACATTCGCCGGCTCCAGAAGTTAAGGTAGCTGTGTCAGGGTAGAGCCGAGAAGTTGATCTTTAGAGCTACGTAATTAAAAACTCATTGCCCAGATCCAAATTCACCTCATGAACAATTGGGGATGTGTGAGCAGTGTAACACTAAGTGATTCTTTGATCAATATCAAATATACTTTTTTTTCTGGGAGAAAGCGGGCAGGTTACTGGGACAAAGTTCGTTCCAATCTTGCTCAATGGTTTGGTTTGGATCATCCATAAACCCTAAGAACATCTTTGTGGGGCTTTTAAAATTATTTTAACCAAAAGATTGATGTGGTGTTCTATTCTGTAGTTGCTCTTGTATGAATCGAAAATCTTGAGACTTCACCACTTGTAGTTATAGATTTATAACATGTGATTAAATTAGCAACGCTTGATAAAGGTGTATGTCTCTATTTATGCTAAAAATAATTAATAGCTAAAATATTTGATCATAGCTTTATATAATTGATTAAATTAAATTAAATTTGATTTTTTTAAATTATATTTTTTTTATTGCTTACATGATGTGCAATGAGTTTTAATATTAAAAATGGCTATTCTAATATTGAAGGAATGGTCTACTTATATTACTTAAGTTAACAAAAGTAAGAAAAAGTAGGTAAAAATATATTAGGTAGATAATGTTTTCATTAAAAAAATTGTTGCTTATATAAAATGTTTTGTTGAAGATTTAATCACTAGTTTAGTGACCAACCATGGATATTGTTTGATATAGTTTCTAATTACATTGGTAGAATTAACATATGCTTGGTATAAATCTTATACAAGAAGATTATTTAAAACTTGTAAATAACTCCTATTAATCCTTTTTTGTTAGTTTAGGTTTAAAAATAGATAATAACAAGCTCTTATTTTATTAGCAATTATTACACAAAAACCTTTTAAAGATATCACATCTTGAAATATGTTTGCAAAATAAAGAAGGTTTTTATTGTGTTAGAAAGTATGAGAAACAAAAGTTGGTCTAAAGCCATGGATAATTGCATTTGAGAAATTATTATTCTACAAATTCAAGAATTTGTGTATTCTACAAATTTAGAATAATAATTTCCTAACTATAATAGATTAAGATCCAAAATATGCAAAAACAGAATTTAAGGTGGATCAAAAATATCATATTAGTGTTTAGTATATTTAAAAAAAATTATTTAAAAATAAAATATTTTTGAAGTCTAAAAATACTTCAACTTGTTTATACTTTATCATGTTGTCATCTTATAAGTCCTAAGACTATAATCTAGACCTCCTCACTTTGTTAACTTTCTCTTCTTCGTACTCCTCTTTCTCTCTCTTTTTACCCTCTCTTGCTTCTTGTCTCTTTTTTCTCCCATACATATTACTTTGAAAAAAAAAATCTTAACAATGTCAAACCTTCCTACAAGAAATTTAACCAAAAAACAACTACAATTATATAAGCACATACTATTCTATCATAAAATCGTTTAAAAAAAACTTGATTGAATTGATAAAGTAATAATTTTGTTTGTCTAAAATTCTATTTTAAAGTACTAAGATAAATACTTTAAAGAAGAAAAGAAAATATGAAAACATAAAATATGCCATGCTTGTAACAACACAAACATGGACAACTACTTTTTTAAAAATGGATATTACTCTTGCAAATCAAGGGCTTCAATGTCAAGCTTATTCAATAGCTTTGTTAGGTTATTTGATAAAGAAAAAAATAAAAATATTTGTTAACCACTTAGATATTAACAAGGCCCTTGAATTTTTTAATAATTGGCTATCTAAGTTCTAAAGTTGTTGTGGATATAAAGAAGTCAAGTTGTATAATAAAAGTAATTCTACTCATGGCACAATCATTAAAGTTGAGATGCATGCACTACAAGTAAAAATAACATGATATAAATTATAGAATATAGACAATATGAACAAAACCAAATTCTTTTATTGCATGGCATTTGACAAAACCATTGCTTAATACCAAATTGAAGTTTCTAAAAAAGATAAAACTATAATTATAATTGATTTTATAATCAATTATAATAATTTTGATTGAAGATTTTATTATTATTAGACATACTCCAAATCACAATTGTTCAACTGACAAAGTGATGACCAACTTAGATTTATTACCAAAAGAATCAAAAATCTTGATTGACTAGACTTTTGTTTCCAAAATGGCTATAAAAATTAGACAATGTTATAAAAATAATTAGCATAAAAGTATTGCTTCTACTAGATAATATTTTTATTATAGAAAAAAAAGAGATTTAGAGTTGACAAACATTGAGATATTAATACTTCTTACAAATACAACATCAAAGATCCAACCTATACATGTTGGTATTATTATAGCATTCAAAAGAAGATATAAATGCTTATAATTATCATGAATTTGAAGATGCAATTCACATTGATGAACATGAAAACATAGACATTTACAAACTTAACTAATATTGTCTTATATTATTGCTATTGGATGAAAGAAAAAAGAAAGAAAAAAGAAGAAGAAAAAAAGAAAAAAAGAAAAAAAAACTCTACATTACAAAAGAACCTAATTTAAGACTTAGTAAAAAACTTCATTTATGAATCATAAGTAAAATATAGGAAGAAATAGGAAAGCAGTATTTTTATTGCCTTTTTTGTAAAAAGTGCTTTTACTTACTTTATAGAGCTATAAATAAGGTAAGTTAAGATATATTAGAGAAAATAATACTATAGGCATCTCTAAATAAAAAGTCAAAGATAATTCTCAAAAAAATTCACCTTAAAAAATCTTAGGTTGATAGAAGCAGAAGAAGACTACTTGTAAGCCAAAGTTGAAACTAGATCTTAAGACACAAAATTGTGCACCTATGACATATGCAAGGTTCTTTTGTCAATTAGAGAGCAAATCTAGAAAAAATAGTTAAGATGGATTTTATGTGCATTAATATTGAATAATTTTAATTTAAGTTGACTTTGTAAGAATAATAAAAATTTAAGATTGGATTTAGGTGTTTGTATTTGGAAGAAATAATGTGGGACTTACATTTTGGAGAAATTTTATAAATTTTGTAATAGATCTGCATGTGAAATTTGGAAGTTTGAGTATCTACTTATGTTGGAATTGTGGAATAAATTTAGAGCTCTATTGTTTGGTTATATCTAAAGTTGTTAGAAGTCAAGTAGATTACAGTATTCAAAATTGGTAATGTAAGGGCCAATGAAGATTTCTAAATTTGTATCATTTTTAAAATTAAATTGAAGTGAAATTTGCTGAGTTGATGGTTGAATTGAATTCCAATATTTATATATAAAAAAAAAATGGAAGGAAGTTAACAATGTAATAAAGAGATATTGGCACTAGAAGCTTAAAATCAAAGTTGAAGTTGGATGCTTCCTAACATCTATGCAAATTATGTATCGTTCCTCTAATACATAAATTCAATTCTCATAATTGAATTGGAACGTTTTCTTTTGAATCAGTGATTGGTTACACAAAAAATTATCCATCCTACTCAATCACAGTAAATATTACCTCTAACCTCTTCTCCTGGGGATGCTACCTAAGCATTGCATTGAGTGGGATTCTTTGATTAAGTACTGTAGTGCGATCATAGTTGATAGTAAATTTAAAGGATTCTGAAACACTGACCTAGAAAATACATATTACAGCGTTTCTATTTAGCATCATGATTTTTCTTTTAACTGAAAAATATACTCGACTTGGAATTGGCAAATAAGTATACAATGGGCTTGAGGTAATAACTTAAGGGTAACATAGAGTAATAAAAAAATATACATATACCGTTTTTGCTCATTGCTGATCATGAAGTTGAAAGTGATTTTCCAAAAATCTTGATTTCATGATTTTGAGATGAGTAATTAAAGAAATTAGTCTGATAAAACGATAAACATATTAATTATTACATTTCAATGCAATCACTAATCTTGGGAAAAGTTGTAAATTTCATCAAAGATATATTTATAAACCCAAAACTTCATGCTGTCAAAACACAAAGCATTATATTAAAAAGATGGTGTTGACGAATGTATCTTCAAGATAAACCTTTGTTAATTGATGCACTGGTGTGATGCATAAAGTACAAAAGAAAAACACCAAAAAGTCTTAATTCTATGCATATTACATTACAGTTTTCAACCTTTTAAACGACTTCTCTTCTTGTTCAATGCAATTTTTCCAACATAACCTCTTCACGAAACCTTCATTCATACAAATTTTTGGATGAATCAATTCAACCTATGCAAGCCTAATCATCATAAACATACTTCAATTCTTTACTCTATTTCTTGAATATATTCCATTACTGATGAAACTTCTTGTACAATACAACATCAGTATACTACTCTTGGACTTGATTCTTCAGCCACAATCATACTTATCAGGTCAGTATTACAGTTCAAGGCAGCTCACAAACCATATTTGAAGGGTGCTCGGAAGGCCTAAACAATGATAGAATTGAGTTGGGGAGATCATCAACAAAGGTTGTAATCCCGAACCTGATGAGTAAAAGGATCACACAAAGCATGATCCAGAATTTTACTTGTCAAACTGATGAAGGAGAAGGAGGCACGAGACATGAATCCTTGTACCGGAGAAAGAATGAGAGACAATTCGCAACTCATCAATAAAAATGTACCTTGTTCATTAAGGTTGGTAGCATTTCCAAAACTGTCATCTAGTTGTTGAAGTAGCCACTTCTCTCACGCGATACACAGGCTGGGACTGAGACTCGTAATAAATCCTCACACAAACTTCGGCTACGAGCCCCAAGCACACAAGCTGCATCACCAGAAGGCCAAGATCAGACATCAACATGGATTGCAGAGCATTTCCTGGGAAGCATAAGCAACCAGTTGGGTATGTGTGAAGAGGAGGTGAAGAAGAAGTACCTGGAGCCCCATGATGAGGAGTTGCAAGGAGAGCACAAAACCTGGGCTGGCGCTGGATATAGCCATGCTGTATCCCCAGACATGGGCAGTCTTTACAAGTGACCGACTCGTGGACGCTGCCGCTACAATTGATCCCAGCATGCACACACCACCGAGAAAGCCTATGAAGTGCATGGGCTTCTGCCGAAAGCGTTGGAGGAAATAGACGGTGGTGAGGTCCATCAGGACTCGGAAGATTCGGCCCAACCCATACTTAGATTTCCCCAGGGTGCGAGGATGATGCCGTACCTGCACAGATTTATAGGATTTGTTGCCCCTGTCAATGCTCCATTGCTGGATATACACCGGAAGGAAATTGAGCCATAGTGAGGGTGTAGAGTTTGAATACGAAGTCAATACCTCTAGTTCAGAAATGGCAGCACCTTCCATGGCAGCCAGTGTGGGAATGAAGCGGTGCATTTCACCGTAGAGGAGGAGAGTTGACAGGAGAGGAGCACGGTAAGCTTTGAGGCTGCATCCGTAATCGTGAAGCCTCACCTGCGTGCATCCAACTGCTGTTGATTGTGTCATCATGGTGAGAATTCATCGCCGGAATTTGATGTCGAATTGGACGTGCAGAGACAGAACCGTTTGACACCCTGTTTCGAAGTTCAAATTCTTTGATAGGAGATTGGTCACGTACCCCAGTTAGAGCTCCGATGAGCATATTTGCGACCCACGAAGGAAAGTTTCGTGTGAATGCGTTGTCCTTGCGTTTACGGCGCCACCCGCAAACCAAGTCGTATCCACCATCTTCACGGACAACGCCTGTGTTCACAGGGTGGCCACCTTGGTTTCCATATACCAGCTGGTCGACGAGCTTGGGGATATCTTCAGCGTCGTTCTGCAAATCCCCATCCATGGTGACAAACACGTCCCCAGCCGCAAAGTCGAATCCAGCCGCCATAGCTGCTGTTTGGCCGAAATTCCTTCGAAATATCACCACCCGCATGTCCTCCCTCTCTGCCGCCATCTGTTTCAAGATCCTCGCCGTCCCTGAGCATCCCAAAAGAATGAATACTCCACATTAGCCTAACATCTCCACAATTTTTTTTGATATTCAACCCTAATTTGATCAGATTTCGACCTTCTTTGGGAGTGCTCCAACGCTGATACACATGTATATTCCAAACGTCTGATCTCACAAAGCTTGTTGAATATTATATGAGAAATGTGCAAAACTAATGAAACGAATAGGTTCAAGGAAATTCATCAAGGTCTACCATCTGTTGACCCATCGTCGACACAAACAACCTCATACGGCCCTCCACGCTTCTGCATCACGTCGCCCACTTTCTCTACTAGCGTCCCTATGGCGGCAATTTCATTGTACACGGGGATGATCACAGAGACAGCCGGTGAGTTCTTATCCTCCTCCCGAGGTTCGCTTTCCTCACTCACTGGCCCTGAGGCGAATTCCAACACAGCTTGAGTGACTCCCTTTCTTGAAGGCGTTGTTTTTAAACTCAAGGCCTGCATCCTTCGTTTTTTAAAGCTCGGAAGCTGGAGTAGAACCTCGTCTGCTACGCATCCCCTGCAACAAATAAACTCTAAAACTCTTAGCACAAAAATAATTCCACAACAATTCCTGCATCATGTTCTACTGCAACTCTAGACATGAAAAATTACCAGAGGCATCGTACTAGAACCTCTACAACTCTCGAAAATTTCTTATACTCAATCCGTATACAGATTGCAACTGGCGCCAGTTCCCTCACGCAACTGCAATCACCACAATCGTACCGATGGAAAGACCCATCATTGAGAGCTACGAAGCAATTTTCGTCAGAGAACCCACCTGGATTTCGCCCATGGCTGAAGCTTCACGAAAGTGTAGCGCCCAACGAGCGTCGGCCCGCTCAGCAGCATGATGGAAGGCTGGAAGCGCGAGTTCTCGAGATCCTCAGCTCTTCACAGAAAGCAATCAGAAACAAATAGCTAATCGAGAATTTCACATGAAACAGTCTTCTGATGAAGAGCTATTGAAGGATCATAGTGCGGGGGTGGTGATCATTTTGAAGCTACTTCAGCGGAATTCGAAGTGGAAGCTCGAAGGTGGCGAGCTATGGCGAGAGCATACAAAACGATAATAGCCGGAGTAGTCCCACTTCACAGCAGAACCAGTCTCATCAACGTTAACCAGAGCTTTATCTACAGAAACCAAAATTCTAAGGCGCGATGTAGACTTGACGAGTTTTCATCAGTTATATAGTCAGAGAAGAGGTCCTAAATGTGCTCCACCTACATCGGAACAATTAAAATAATAGTTACATATTCACCCAGGTAAAGAATAATCTCTAGACTTCATAGTCTGGTGCTGAAACGCTCCTCGCCAGTGAACCGTTGTGAAGCTCTAGGGTTGTGCGGCAGCCTTGCAGAGATGGCATTTGCATCTATTGAGGTAAAATTCAGATCACATCTGGTGCCACAAGAGAATATTATCCAACCTTGTACATCCCAGTGAGATCAGTGAAGCTGTCAGAGAGGTTGCAGAATTTTCTGGAAGCCGCGTCTTCGTTGGCCTTGCAGGAGTATTGACATTGTGTGTATTGATCTTGTGATTGTGGGGCCTCGTGTGACGAAGGAGATGAAGAAATATTGCGATTAGCTTGGTTTTGTGTGTGCTCTCAGCTTGGGGATCACACCTGTGCAGATCATCTGCTCTGGCACACTCTGGAACCGACAAAAGCGACCTTCAAGCACCTGCCTGTAACTTCACAACCCTTCGATCATCTCTGTAACTAAGGCCACCCATGTCCTAGGTTTCCAATGAAACAAAATGCTGCGCGAGGCTTGAGATCTACACACGGAATTACTAAACTCTGGCTTTTCCCTCCAACCGCCGTTTCAGTCACAAGTTTAGAAAGGCGTGTCGCGTAAAAAGTCTGGTGATGAATTTGTGACAATTAGGGTTGTCATAAAGTAGGGAAATTGAGATGAGCATATCCATGCTGCATTATATGAGTTTCGACAGCCTGCAAGCGTATGAAGTACACTATGCATACGAACCCCACTGTCGACAATCGAGTATGAACATCTATGATCGTTCTGCAACGTGTATTCAAATCTCTTAATTGGTATGATGCAAATTAGGTAGATACACCACGTAAATGAGAGGGACCTTTTGGAATGTCTTGATAGACATAGTATCTGTAAATGCAGGAAGAATTGAAAACAAGCTCGCCCAAATTAATAGTGTGGTTGAAACAATTTGGCGGGAAAAAGTTTTCACTCCTGAAGGATCTTTTGAAGTGGAAGCCCAATCCTAATATACTACAACTGCTAAGCCGAAGGAACATTGTCCCGCACCGAGGTAATCCAGACCAACTACCTCCGGTCTGTCTTTCCAGTACCCCTTTTGCCCGAAAACAAATGCTTAGGCTTTTTGTTGTAGTGAACACGATCCGCCTCACCCTTCCTAGCATCCTTATTTCTTTCTTTCACAGCATTCTTGCCGATCTTCATTGCCTTGACCTTTTGAGCACTGTCCTTGAAACCCTCACCTGCACACACACAAGAACGATCTCATTAGACGGGAATACTGGCAACAAGTCAATAACAACCTAGGAAGAGATTCTTCAGAAAGAGAGTAGGACGCAAAATATAACAAAAGTGTAGGCAGGTTCCAACAGAATGACTAAATGATTAGAAGAAGCTTTACCAGGTAGTGCTTCCTTATGCGGCCGGGATAAGGAACGAGTTCGTGAACGCATTCTTTTGTTAGCTTGCTCATCCACTTCCATGTCATCACCACCTGCTGCCTCGGATCTCTCTCTCTTCCTGCTTCTTGTGCCAGCTGCGGACCTACTCCTTGCTCTATTCACTGCAGCAGTAGGATCCAACCCCAAGCTTGAAAGATGCCTACCCATTCTGCTGGTATTAAATTGTCGTTCTACATCATGCCTTCTGGGGACCACAGGTTTATTATCGGCAGTTTTCTTCTTAGCTCTGTGCTCAGCTAACATGAGCTTCTTCTTCCGTCGAATTGCAGCAAGGGCCTCAGCTTCTTCGGGTGTTAAATCCTGCGTAATAAGATCAACGTACCACTCGATAACTAGACACAACGGTTTTAAATAAGATCAATGTAAAGGCAGTACAACATCTTTCAATTCGCATACAGTACGTACTAATTTTGTCAAAGGAGGTCATTCAATTCTGTTCCCCAAACGACATGGGTAGAATCGAGACCCACTTTTCACCACTGAGCAATGATTGGGAATTTAAGGTAGAAATTGACCTGATCACTCATGTCCTCGTCCTCATCCATTCCGTTCTCTGCTGCAGCGGCACGCTCATCTTCCTCTCTTTCCAATTCATCCAGTCTTTGAAGGATGTCAGCATCCACGAAATCAGCAATATTATGACCATCCATGATCTCAGGAACAATGTCATCCTTCCAATCAGGATCCAACAGCAAGTAATGTTTGTGCAAGTTCGCAGAGTACACTCCTGCAATCACACAACCACAGAAGCATGGATTCGTGAGGGGTTGTCAACATTCACTGGAGCCTCATGATATCCCCACATTTAAACCATAACAAAGGTCTAGAAATATTCCTTAATAATAATATTAGAGATACAGACAATATATCCAATGCAAGAATCACTGAAAAATCAAATCGTAAAAACTGACCTGCACCACCATTCTCGTTCTCAAGATCCTTCTCCAATTTCCTCTTGTTCTCAGCAGCGTTATTCTGAGCAGCCCTAGCGTCAAGAACTGCCTGGGGAATAACAGGAGGACGCTCCTTCTGGTCCCTAGCTTTAGGCACAGCCACATGAATTCGATTCAGACAATCATTGATCTTCTTCGACTTCATCTTCATCTCCACACGCATTTGCAGCAGCTTCTCACAAGCAGCATTCTTGACATTGATAAGGCCCTCCTCTGTCATAGTACTCATAGTCAACATGCAATTCTCTTCATCCGGCGGGGCACCATCGACAAGACCTGCCCCAGCTCTCGCAGCTTCTTTCCTCATCTCTTCAATAAGTTTCTTGTCAGACTCTGGGAGTGTCTCAAATGGCTGAAGATCGGTTTTGTTACAAGCGATGATGACAGGCTTGTTAGCGAAAAGGGCTCTGATCGAGTGAAACAGAGCTGCTTGCTGGGCAATAGTGTAACCACAATTTCCAGACAGATCAACAACGAACAGAACAGCTGCTCTAAGATACGCAAGTGCTGTAATACTCAACATCTCGATTGTATTGCACTCTTCCAGGGGGTGATCCAAAATTCCGGGAGTATCGATCACCTGTAGTGTATGAATCAGTTAGTAAATGCAGAACCAACACACCACTCACCATAACAAAAAGTCAAGATAAGTTCCAATCATTCGAATGCAGCCAAATGGGCAGAGCAAATTTCCGGTGCATAATTTGAGCGTAGTCAAATGAATAATGTAGTCATGTGTTGCATACCTGCCACCGCATGTACTTATAATCAGTGTGACCGACAAACAAAGACTTCGTGGTGAAAGCGTAGGGCTGCACATCGACATCGGCGCGGGTGATTTTGTTGATAAAACTGCTCTTCCCGACGTTGGGATAACCGCAAATCAAAATAGTCCGGGTGTTGGGATCGATTGAGGGCAACCTTGACATGTGCTGTCTAACCTGCTCCAAGTACGCCAAACTGGGGCTAACACGTTTCATCACTGTGCACATTCTACCCAGTGCAGCTTTCTTCAGATTCTTGCACCTGCCAAAAACCCATGTTCAGTAAAGGTCGCACTGGAAATGCTTGAACTCCAAAACACATAGATAAGTAGATTCCATACGCTGAGTTCTTCAAACATCACCATATTCCGAGATCAATTGCAGCGCTAGGGCCTAAACCTCTAAAACGCAAGAATAAAGCCCGAACTGAAACGCTCAACCCTAAACCTCAAACCGCCACACCAAAATGATCCTTAAACCCTAAACCCGCAAACCTTCAGGGCGAGGCGCAAAATTACTAGCACCAACCTGTAAAGCGAGTCGCCATATTTCAACAAACGCACGTAATCCTTAGCAATCTTCTCGATCAGGTTGCGAGCGGTATTAAGCTGCCCAAGCGCAAGCTTATAATGGTCCTTGTCATACAAATGATTCAAGAGCTCCCCGTAAAAAGGATGGATGTCGTCAAGACGGGGGAAATCCTCTAAGATAGTGGAAATCTTTTCGTGGAAGTTCGTCTGCGTGTACTTCACCTTCCGCATGTAGAATTGCCGAATCCGGTTGATAGCGTAGCCCTTGTGTACCACGGTGGGCGTCTGGCGCTGCGTCCGGGACAAGATGATATCCACGAACTCTTTGCCCGAAGGCACCACCGTAATCTGCTTGAAATTGTAGAGCACCATGGTTGCTGCCGCTACTGCACCTGGCAACCTCAAATGATCCTTACAGCCTCGATATCAGCCCAAACACGTAATAATCCAACAAAACCCACGAACCGGCTAACAAAACCTGGATCCCTAGGGCTCCGAGGCTTGAAGCGAGAGGCTCCGGTGAAGAAGGCCACAGCTAGGTCGGAGAAACAATGCTCCGCCAAAGAAGATCCTACTTAGGTCGGCGAGGTTCTGTACACACACTCGGGTTTGAAGCGGCAGTAAGCGTCCAAAAGCGGAGACAATTCGCGGCAAGGCTCTGCTCCTAGCGGTCCGCACAATCAGGTCCTTAAACCGTGCCAAGTATTCATCCGATGGATGAAATTTCGGGACGGGTCAATCCCAGTTACGCATCCCCCCTGGGGCTGGCTCCCCGTTTTTGCCTCCCGGGCAGCCCGCCGGGCAGGACCCTTCGTTTTGTTTTCCAGCCTTGTCTTTGCCCAATTCGTTTTCAGTTAGCCTCTTCTTAGTGATTTCTTTGGCCTTTCTCTAGTTTGCTGGTGTTGTCTCTTGTTGTGTACAAAGGAAGAAGTACCTCAAGAGGAGTTTTCGTGAAATTCCAAATGCGAAGTGGGTTCAAGCATGCATCCTCATCGAGGATTATCGCAGCTAGGATCGCATCTAGATTTTTGATGAAAAATCTGCTGTCCCTCATGTGAGGGTCTAGCTTCTTGAGGTGATCAACCTTTCCATCGTTGTATCACCAACGCAGTCCTTATTTTTTATAGGTTGCACAGACTGTACAGAGGGATGATGGAACCATTGAACTGTAGCAATGAAATGGACATTAGGCCTGGTTAACGATCAGTTGTTGATGAATTCACTATATCTGATGCTTCTTTCTTGGTTACTCCGGGTGGTCCATGTCTAAAACTAGTTTTTCTTGTCGCAGAAAAGCACCTCAAAAAACCACCACATGAGCCCATGCTGCCGCGGTTGTGGATTCATATTCTTGAACCATTCTCGTTCTCAAAAATTAATTCCGGGACCCTGAAAACACCATCAGAACAGAGTCTTGTAGTGTTGAGCTGCAATATTCAAGCTGAGGTTAGTTTGTATTCTAAAATCTCAAGCCGAACAGGATGATGATGCTCAAAGGACTTAGCGATGGTTCTGGGTCACGGCGGACATGTCAAGACACACACACACATACACACATACACACGCACACAAAACCAGACCTGATGCCTAGCCAACAATCAACGCGCACTTCTGCAAAGTTTATGCAAGTATTTCAAATCGCAGGAAACGTCAATCTAACCATTCGGCGAGTTCACAAAGTAAAAATGCTTCCAGTTCACAGAACGACGTTACGCAAAATATAATCCAGAAAGGTAAGTGACACGCATGAATCCTCATGGATCCAATCTGCGAGGTAAGTATCACCTTGAAAGACTCCTAAGCTTTCACAACCATCGGCGTTCACGATTCTAGAGCTTGACTACAGTTCCTAAAGACTCCTAAGTTTTCACAACCATCAGCATTCACGATTCTAGAGCTTGTCTACAGTTCCTAAGGATTACGGTTACCAAAACACACAGAACACCCCACAGACACACAGCCAAACCTCCAGCATTTCATCATCTGGACAACCTGAAGGAAGACAACGACGATACAACAAACTGAACATGTTGCAAGCATTAGAATATTGTGAAAACATCTTGTGAAGGTTTAAGTGTGGTAGCAATTTATCACAATGCAATATAACAAAATGAAGATTTGTAATGAGAGAGCAAATGCCGAGCTTGGTGTCTTCATGCAGTGTAAGTTCCACAAGGTGTAGGTACCTGAAGCATTTGCGGTAATAAAGCAGTGAACTCTTCGTCCTGGTGGCAAAATTGAGTTTTATAGATTTGCACAACACCCTTTGATTAATATTTGAATATGTATGTGCTTCAGTTTCTGGGTCCCTGTAGAATTTATAGATTTTGATAATACCGATAGGTTACAGAATGCTATAATTTTTTAAAACGAAATAGAATTAAATTAAAATAAAATCAGAATACCAATTATGATATATGAGTGCAATCGCTTTACATAACTATTTGGAAATTTTCCAAATACTTCTTAGACATGAATACTAACATGTAGTAGTGAATCAGGGTGATATCTTTATATTTACATGTGAAAAATCGAAATTCACTTAATTGAGCAAAAACACATTAGAAATTTTAGAAAATAATGTTGATTTAATTTTTTAGAAGTAATATTTCTATTTTTATAAAAAAACATAACTCCTATGAAAGTAAAAAATATTATAATTTGAGTAATATTTATATTAATAATCTAATAAATATTAGATATTTTCATTAACTTAAATATTTTATTTATATCTTAGAATTAGAATTTATTTACAAATTTTTGCTCTCAGAAAAAATTCTTCTAAACATTAAAAAATATGTAAATAGGAAATTAGTTTTTTAAAAATATAAATAAGGAATTTCTCTTATTAAAAAATAATATAAAAAAATCTATATAAATTTTTTATTTTTTTAAATTCTAAAAAATTAAAATAATCCATTTTTTAAAAATTATTTTAAATTTAATGTACTTAATATTTAAAGATAAAATATTAAATCAATGTAAAAAAAAGAATTTTAATTTTTTTCAAATTTTTCTTTTTACAAATCTAAATATACTCACACATATACTTGTGCAATAGATAAAACTAAAAAAAATACATTAATAAAAACATTAAATTACTCTCTTATTAAACTTATGTATATTTTTTTGGTTTTAAAAATATTATCTATCTATCTATCTATCTATCTATCTATCTATCTATCTATTTATCTATCTATCTATCTATTCTTATACAAATCTAATTTTTATAAGATTATATGCTATAAAGGTTTTTATAAAAAAACAGATACTATTTAATAATTAACCATTTAAAAATACTTATCTATTTTTGATATAAAATTAATAATAATTAATTAACTTACTTTTATAAATTAGTGATAATTTTCAAGTCAACAAATGATGTACTTGAAAACTAAGTAAATTAACTTTTAATATATATTAACAAAATATCTAATGATACTATAATTTAATATTACATATATACTGATAAAGCATCTAATACTACTATAATTTAATATTATATACACAATCACTATATGCAATGTATTCCCAATTCCTTTAGCAATAATTTCAAATATAACTATTCATTTATATCTAAATCTGTCAAAGATGTAAGGTTGTCTAACTTCTTTGGTAATGATATTAAGTTTAAACATCTACTTATATTTAATCGTGTTAAAAATTTAAAGTCCCATAATTTGCTTGGTAATGATGTCAAATTTGAAGACCAACTTGTATCTAATTATGTCAAAGATGTAAATTGAGCAACTACTTTAGTAATGATGTCAAGTTTAAGCATCTATTTAAATTTAACCATATGATTAATATTAGGTTTTAATTTTTTTTATCAATGATGTCAAGCTAATCATCTACATATACGTAATATTATCAAAGATGTAATTTCTTTGGTAATAATATCAAATTTAAGCATTGACTTATATCTAACTTTGTCAAAGATATAAGGTTGTTTAATTCTTTTGGCAATAATGTTATATTTAAGCATCTACTTATACTTAATTTTATCAATGATTTAAAGTTGTCTAATTCCTTTAAAAAAAGATATCAACTTTGAGCATTTAATTATATCTAATTCTAATAAAGATGTAAAATTGTGCAACTCCTTTAGTAATAATGTTAAGTTTGAGCATCTTCTTATATGTAATTTTATTAAAGATAAAGTTGTTTAATTCTTTAAACAATGATGTCAAGTTTAAACATTCACTTATTTGTAACTTTATTAAAGATGTAAGGAGATGCTCAATTTTTATTCAATTTTCATCTTTTCCCATCTTCTTATATTTAATTCGAGCAAACATGTAAGTTTGTCTAATTCCTCAAATAAAAATTTCAAGTTTGAACATCTTCTTATATCCAATCATATTAATAATATAAAGTTGCTCAATTTCTAAATGATGATATTGATTTTGAACATTTTTTAATTTTGAGCAGTATCAAAGATATAAGGTTGTTCAACTCTTTTTATAATGATGTTTAGTTTAAACATTATCTTATAGCTATTTACATCAAAGATATAAGATTCTTTAATTTCTGTGGCAATGATATTACATTTGAACATTGAATTATATTTGTTCATGTCAAAGATGTAAGATTATCCAACTCTTTAAGCAATTACTTATATCTAATTTTATCAAAGATATAAGATTGTTTAATTCTTTTGTCAATGATATCAAGTTTGAAGACCAACTTATCTCTAACCTTATCAAATGTGTAACGTTATTCAACTCCTTTGGCAATAATGTCAAGTTTGAACATCAACTTGTATCTAATTCTAGCAAAGATATAAGATTGCCTAACTCCTTTGATAATGATGTCAAATTTGAGCATCCTTTTATATCTAACTATATCAAAGTTATAAGATTTTTTAAATTTTTTAGTATTGATGTCAAGTTTAAGCACCTACTTATATCTAATCTTGTCAAAAATGTAAGGTTTCTAATTCCTTTGATAATAATGTCAATTTTGAGCACCTAGTTATATTTAATCACATCAAAGATATAATGTTGCTAAACTCATTTGGCTATGATTTCAAATTTGAGCATTCACAAATGCTTAATTGTTGTAAAAAAATGAAGTTTCTTAATATTTATGGTAGTATTCTTAATCTTATACATCTTTTTAAATTGACGATTCTTAATGATGTTAAATAATGCATATTTTGTGGTAATATTTCTTGATTTGAAAAACCTTCTAAATCAAGCTCTAATAATGTATTCATTATAAAAAATAAATTTAAAAAATTTTGTATAAATTTAAAATTCTTCAAATGTAAAACAATTATTTCTTTCAATGTTGTTGAAACATCTTTGTTACTAATTATAAAAGAAAAGTTTTATAAAAAATCATTACATACAAATCTTTTTGTAGGCATATGTAACAAAAGTATTTTTAATTTTTGAAAGCCTTTTATTAATAATAATAATATATTCCATACTTCTATATTATTATTTAATATATTTTCTTCTAATATATAAATTATCAATCTAAAAATATAAAAACAAATATACATCTCTAATGACACTTGACATGATATTTTATTCATTTTTATAGCATAAACTTTTTAGTTGTCAAACAATACAATAAAAATAAAACATAATTCAA